ATGACAAATAGTTTTGTTGCACTTGTGTACTCTGAGATTCTGAACATGGGTCAGTGGAAGTTTTTAGTTGTCAGTACAAAACTAGATTATGGGAAATCACTTTATGATGAGTTGTACCCACAAAGAGTACATATTTTTTCACCTGTTTGCAGATGTTCCTTGTACTACTTTATAATCAAATAACGGGGACTGTGACATGTCATGTCTTGTTTCAATTATTTAAGAGTGCCTGTTGTTTTATTTTTGAGTGTTCTCAACCATATATTGGATGTACATTGTCCGATTTTGTCCTAAATGGGTTGAAGTCATAGTAGAATACATATGCACATTGATCTGAATTTGAATTTGATGACATTTGACCGACTGGATACCATTTTCGTCTTGATACCAGGTGTACATCATATTGTTTCTCAATTTAAAAATAGCTGACTGGTGGCCATTTTCCTTTTTTTTCATGCATACTACCTTCTCCTCAGATACACTTTCATTGATTTTGTTCAAATTTGGTACAGATATGAAATATAATGGTATGAATATTCTCTTTAGTTGTTCAAGATTTGATGGAATTTAAATTAATGATGGCTGTTTTTGTCCATAAATCACCAAATGTCATTAACTGTTTCTTAGGCGTGCAACACATTCTGCCAGCTCCAAATTATACTTTGGCATCTTCAATCATATTGTATTTGTTCACCTGTTCCTCACCTCCTACTTCTTGTTTAATATTATATAACATTGTACCAACAATTGTTTGTTGTCATGGTAGTTACTTACACCGAGCAATTCAAATATTTTTTATGTTTTTATCCCAACAGTTGTCAGTTGCCAATGCAGAACATCAATTAATACGACTGAGTTCATCCAACCCTAATTTACAAGTTATGAATTCAGATGATTCCTCAAAGAATGGCTCGTCAGAATCTTCACACAAACTATTTAAATCAACATATGATAAAAGAGAACATGAAAATAAAGTTAGAGAAGAGTTTATTACTGCCTCAACAGAAGGTACATGTATACATTGTATGTTATTAGTTTCTGTTCAAATGAAGTCTGTCTTCGTATGAATAGCATATCCTGTTTAATTTCTGACCATATATTTCGATTTTGGTAGAGAAGACCTCAAAAGTATGCACGAAGACAGTATAGCCGGAGTATCGGCCGACACACAGCATACGGTCTGAGAAGTGTAGTCTACTTTTCAAAATGGCCATATATGTATGGGCAGGCACTGTTCCATGTAAATGACTGTCTATATTGCATATACACACTTCTGTAGAAGACATTTTCACTTTGAGAGCATATTACACTGATGGCAATCTTGAAGAAAATGGTTATCAGAGTTATCAGGTCCAGCAATCTCAAACTCATGAAAACAACATCAAACCAATTGTTTATTAAACATTATTAGAAATGGTGGCCTTTTATTGACTTATATATTTGGCAATTCTTATTGATATCACACATTTATAAGGGCAACCATAGTACAATTTTTTTATATTGATTGCCTTTGTGTGTATCAGTACTAACCAAAAAATATATGAACTGTGGGGTAAATTTCTGAAATATCATAAAGACTAAATACAGACACATGATGGACTTGTATGAACTTGTACATGTTTGTAGCTGGGCATTTTAGCTTTATTGTTGTACTACTCATAAGCCGAGGGGCCTCAACATGTAAAATCAAGATTTGTGTTTGTTCAACATTGTAACCATATTACTACCCTCATGTTAACCACCATCCAAATTACATCTTTCATTTACATATACCATAGGGGAAATATTACACTTTTTGGAGAAATAAATTATGAAATGAGTTATTGATTTCCACAACAATTTTAAAATGAACAACCAAACATGCTTACAAAAATACACACATTTTATTACAATACAATTTACATACCATCTGAATTTACAGTGTAAAAATCATTAGGGTGTATGAGAAAACTATAGACCACAAGATCATTATCTTTATTGTTAAATGTTTTCGAT